CAGCAGAGGGAGAGGGAGAAGCAGGCTCTCCACTGAGCAGGGAGCCCGATGTGGGGCTCAATCCCAGGACTCTAGGATCATGACCTGAGCCGAAGGCAGATGCCCAACCTACTGAGTCACCCAGGTGCCCCTATGCTGATTATGTCTTGATTCATGGACCTATTTAGGCAAAAGTATTACGTATAAAGATAAGCCTACTTTATAATCCCAGGAGCCTAACTGCAAGCCAAAACAGCAGTTCTAACAATCAGTTTAAAGGGAACTGAATCTAAGGTGGAGAATATTTTCTGAACTCTGCTATAAATTCTACTTCAATCTAAGAAAAAAAAATTCCCTGTCTATAGAAAAAAATATTTTCTGAAATGAAGCTAAAGGAGCTTCTGGACTAGCAAACACATCAAGATGCTGTTATGTCTTACGCATCTTTTCCATTTGGCTGTTCCTGAGTCATATCCTTTATAATAAGCCAGGAATTATTAAGTAAAAGCACTTTCCTGAGTTCTGTGAGTTATTCTAGTGAATTATTGAACCTGAGGGACAGCTCATGGGAACCCCTGAATCTGTAGTTGGCCAGGCAGAAGTGTGGGTAGCCTGGGCACCCTATTTTCAGCTTTCATCTGAAATAGGAGCAGTCTCATGGGACTGAGCCCTTAATTTGGGTCTGCACTTACTCCGAGTAGTTAGTGTCAGAAATGAATTAAATTGTTAGATACCCAGCTGGTATCAGAGAATTGGAAAATTGGTTGGTGTTTCATAAAAACCACAGCATGTATGTATCATGGGGTATGGTGACAAGATACAATAAACAAGGAGATGGACAGACAGATGAGAGAGATAGGACTCAATTTGATAATGGTAAGTGCTCTGAAGAAAAGAATAGAGTGGTGTAGGGGAGGAAAATAATTTTCCCTCTACCCTTCTCAATTCTTATTTGACAGCCTTATAATAAAAAAATACTGACAAAAGAAAAACAAAATATACATGAGAGATACCCAGGGAAAATGAGTAACTCCCTGAGGTGGCTTAGAATTCAGACTTAAATACCATCTTCATTGGGAAAGGGGAGGGGGATGTAAGCCTTTTAGAGGACAGGAAACAATTTTTAGGAAAGATGAATGGGCCCTTAGAATAGATGGGAGGTATGATAGTTTCTGACAAAGTTTGTCTGGGTTTGGTGTCAACTTCTAATCTCCTCTCCTGTGATAAGTCAACCTTCCCTTGTTGATGAAACTCCTTGAGAGGGAATTTATAACAACTGAGTTCCTTTGGAGGATCTGTCTTTTGGCAGGTAAGGGTAGTCCAGAGAAAGCCTGTGCCTGCGTTGGCTGTTTTTCAAGAGCCTATAGCTCAACGTAATCAATATACCAAAGTGGCACGTTTCAAGGTAGCATGTTCTGTTGTATTCAGTGGTATGAGGAATAACAGATGGTGGCCACATTTGATAGAGTAGTTGTGGGCAGTCACTCAGAAGGGAAACACTGCTAGATGCACTACACACTAAGCAATATTTTCTTCATTTTATAAAAAGAGATACCGTGGCAGAGTGAGATTAAATCATTTACCATGGCCACCCTGCTAAAAAATGGCACAGCTAAAATTCTTACCTCATTCTGTCTCCTCACCCCAACATTCAATCTGGTTCTTGCTGCCCAGTATTCCAGAGGGACAGAAATGGTCTATATCTGTGCTGCCCAAGAGTCCACATGTGACATCTGAGCACTTGAAATGTGGCTAGGGTAAGGAACTAAATTTTTTATCCCATTTAATTTTAATAATTTAAATGTAAACAGCCACATGTACCCAAGGATTTCTATCTTGGACAGTGAAGTTCTAGGATTTCTCCATTGTGTGATGGCTTGCATCACTTAGCTCTATTTTGCTGATATTCCAGCACTTTTTGACTCTACCTTCCTTCTGCGAAAGATGTTGTCAGCTGGTAGCAAACACACCTGCTAAAGATTAGCTACGTTAAACTCCCCACAGGCCTGTGTCATTCTAATTAGTCACTGTGTCTCAAAAAACAGGATATTAATTCTGTCTTCATTTCATTTTATATTTTATATACATGTTTTTCAATGTTGAAAAAAAATTAATATTTCAGGCACACCCAAATGCTAGAAGCCTATTAAACCAAAGGTGCAAGGGAGAAAAGCAAATTGAGACCACATGGCATTTTCATAGAATAAATCTTAGAGGAAAAAAAGGCAGTGTGAAGGAAAAGCCTCTGCCTAATCAAATGGTGTCCATTGTAGCAACTCAGGTTGTCAAGTAAACCTCACAGACAGTAACCACGGATAGAGTGATTTACTCTTTCAGCACCAAAACCTGAAGCAAAAAGACCAGCACTGCAATTAAAAAAAAAAAAAATCATAGTCTAAAACTAAGCTCTGGAACCTTCACCATTCTTACTGCCTGACATGAGTCAAGCTATGGGGACACCGACCACAGAGATAGCTCAGGAAATGTTAAAAACACATGCTGTGGGGCCACACAGACCTGAGTTTCAGATCCAGCACACTGCACTTCCCTGCTCCCCATCTTCTTTTTAAATTGTATACTTCTGGGAGATTGCGAGATTTTACCATTTTAGCACTAATCCTTCAATGTCAGTTTACGAATCACTTACCCTAGGTGATTCCAAAAAAGCAAAGGCAGGTCCTTACCCTTGAAAAGCTTTCAATCTGGTTGATGATATGTGTTCAACACACAGCAAACAAGCTGAGATTAAATGCTTATAGACAGCATGGATTTGCCAGTAAGAACAGGCATTTAAAGACAGGATCAGTAAAAGGGATAGTTTAAGACAATAAACATCTTGTAAATAATTTTGTTTCTCTTTTTTACCTTAGCTGCAGAAAGCTCAGAACCAGATCTCAAGTTCAATTATTTTGATTATAATATCCCATGAAGTATACATGTTTGTGGTATTGCCATGCCCTTGGCACTGAGGATGGAGGGGTGGTTAATTTTCTTTTTTTTAACTTAATTTTATTTTATTATGTTATGTTAGTCACCATACAGTACATCATTAGTTTTTGATGTAGTGTTCCATGATTCATTATTTTCAAGGGGTGGTTAATTTTCAATTTCTATTTTATATTTTTGCTATTATTTGTTCTCCAAGTGAGTGACACTGTAACAAAGTTATCTGAGATAAAATGATAATATAGACTGAAACTGTCAGGTATTACCCATCTTTCAATTTGTATATTTAAAAAGTATACTAATGAAATTTTTGAAGCACAAACACTCCAAAATTTGACAATTAGGTAAAAACACAGAATAGGAATTAAGTAAATGAAGCAATGGCAACAGAGATTTCCAAGTGCTTGAGATTAGCTGAATACTATAATTGACCATAATATTTTCTCTAAATTTGACAGCTCATATTTGAATAAAGGGGAAAAAGAAGAGGAAATGCATTATTTTTCTTTGTTGGACAAAGACCATATATGCCAATATGCCCAACCCATACCAATCAATCTCAATGAGAAACCTTTGCATGCATGCATACTGAGTGCCCGAGACAGGCTAAAGAAGAAAAACACAACTCAGTACACCAGGAATTGACAATGAAGCAGAAAACTGGGCTAGGTACATAAGCAATGATATAGTTTTCGGTGCAGGAGGTACTAGGTGAGAGGCAACACACAATTACTGAGAAACTTCCATGACCCCAGCATCCTACTTTACCTGTTTAGTGTAATGTAACCCTAGCAACCAAATGAGGGGATTATTTCTCTTCTCCATTTTATAGGTGGCTATGGAAGTTTACACCCAAGGAACTGCCATGTGACTGGGGTCCAAGGGGATAAGTGGAAGTTCTCAGGTTGGGATATGAGAAAGATATTCCTGAGAGGAAAATAGCCTGTGCAATGAATCAGACTCAGAAGTTCATAAACCACAGCATTTGCAGAAAGGATGTGGTACCCTGCAACTTAAAAGTAGAGAGTAATGAAGGAAAGTGGTAGAAAAGGAGATTAAAGACAAAGAACATCATGATGTGTTCTACTTCCTTATGCATGTATTGACCTCTTGGTTCAGCGATGACATAATAGTTATTGCACACATTAAAAATCAACATTCTTGGGGTGCCTGGGTGGCACAGTCAGTTAAGCATCCAACTCTTGGTTTTGGCTCAGGTTGTGATCTCAGGGTCATGAGATCAAGCCAGAGTCAGGCTCCTTGCTCAGTGCAGAGTCTACTTAAGACACTCTCTCTCTCGCCCTCTGCCCCTCCCCCTGCTCACACACACTCACTCTCCTCTCTAAAATAAATAAATAAATCTTTTTAAAAAATCAATATTTGAAATCCAGAAGCCGTAGGAAAAAACTAAAATGTACTTATAATTCATTGTACCAAAGTATTTTCCATATATGCATAAACATAAGAGATTAATATCCATAAAAAGTGTTTCTCAAGCATATTTATAGACAAACTATAATAAAGAGGCAAGTCACAGATGATGTACCAACTGCCAGGTAATATATTAAAAGATGATCAGCCTTATTGGTAATCATACAAATTTAAATTAAAACAACTAGAAGTTATTTTTACCTAATAGATAAACCAAAAAATAAAAGATTGTTAATATATTGTAGGGAAGGTGAAAATTTACCTCCACCCATCTTAAGTTTTCAAGCTGGGGCTCTTTAACAAAAAGACAACTTAATAAGAGAAAACCAGTTTATAAACGCATGCAGTGCACATCTCATGGGAGAAACTTAGAAGAACTCAAAGGGGCAGCCCAGGATTCGAGCTTCTGTAGCATCTTCAACTAAAGACAATAATATAGAGAGAAATGGCAAGCCCAAGTTTCAGGCTGCTGCAGGTGGAGAACTGTGAGAAGGTAAATATGTGGAGGAAACTAATAGAGTAAGGTTTGTTTGCAGATTCCTCCAGTGCCATCTTTGGACTGATAGAACTCTGTCTTCTGTAAAAGGAGAGTTTATATCCTGCCTCTAGACAGACAAAGGGGAGCTCTGCTCTTTCTTTTTTTTTTCTTTTTTTAATGCGTCACACATTTGCATGTCATCCTTGCGCCAGGGCCATGCTGATCTTCTCCGTATTGTTCCAATTTTAGTTTAGGTGCTGCCAAAGCAAGCACTGCTCCTTCTTAATTGCCCTCAGCTCAAACTAATTTTTATGTCAAAGAAGCATATTTTGGAGTGACATATTCTGGTTTTCTTCAATATTATTTCACTAATATTGTGATGAAATGGTCACTTTCTTTCATTTCTGGTGAAAATATAAACTAGTTCAATATTCTGGAAGAGGGCTGGATGTTATTCATCAGAATTTACAAGGTGCATCCTGTTAGTTGAGTAACTCCAGAGAATCTGTAAAATCTATGCCACCAAAAGACTTGCACTTGGGCACATAAATGAATCCACAAGGATGTCCACTGCAGCACTGTTTACAATAGCACCAAGACGAATACAATGGAAATGCATATAAGTCATTTTACCATCATGTTACAGCTACACTATGGAACACAATGCAGCCCTGAAAAGACAGTGGCTTTTAAAATGAGCATTTATTCATATGTATCATCCAATGTAGATTTTTTTTTAAGATTTTATTTACTTATTTATTTGACAGAGAGAGAGAGAGAGACAGCAGGAGAGGGAACACAAGCAAGGGGGAGTGGGAGAGGAAAAAGCAGGCTTCCCGCGGAGCAGGACCCTGGGATCATGACCTGAGCCGAAGGCAGACAGGTAACGACTGAGCCACCCAGGCGCCCCCCCACAATGTACATTTATATGTATTTCCCCAATTAGTGCTAAATGAAAAAAACTAATGAATAGTATTTAGAGTATGATCCCATTCATGGTTTTTGAAAAACTAAATATGTATATATGAACACATATTTAGGCATAGAAATTCATGAAAAGAAGTATGGAAGGATGGGGAATGAAAGGCAGAGTCACTGTCTCTGTGGACAAAATTAAAGTAGGGGAGCAAATGGAGGGTGGGGCAGAAAGGGCAAGGAGGAGAGTAGAAAGCTTTATTTTTACTCTTTACGCTTTTACAGTATTTTAATTTTCCTATAATGAAAATGCATCCATGGATCTTGGATTATATTTATTTTTCAAAATAAAAATAAATTAAAACTAGTTATATCACAGCATGAACATGTCATCAGCGTGGTCATTCTTGCTTACCAAGGCGGCTACATTGCCCAGACTGGCCAGGCCTCATTCTGATTTACCATCTCAGAGAAGCTCATCTAAGCCCTTCCAAATCCCTTAAAAATCACTGATTCTCAGAACTGTAAAGTATTTTAAAAGTCATCTACTCAATCTCTTACACAAGTGCTTGAGACACCTCTTAAACATTTCTGCAGATTGATCTTCCAGCTTTTGCCAGATTCCTCTTCCAGAGCCAACAGCCACTGCTTCCCATGGCCTCCTATTCTATCTTCCAGCATCTCTACCAGAAGGACCTCCCTTGTACTAATCCAAAATAAGTCTCCAACCTTAATCCTATGTACTCCTATGAACACAGCTTACAGGTCTCTCTTCACCCAGGAGGAGAAAGGAGGTCACCACTATCCTCCCCAGGTGAATTAGAAGAGCTTTCTCTCTTCTTAATGTTCATCATACCACTAACCATGCTGTATTATAATTGTCTATATACAACCAGACTGAAAGACCTGCACATGGAGCACCATATCCCTAGTACCTAGATCAGGGTCAGGCTCATGGGAGGTTTTCAGGACAGTTGACAGATACAAGGATGGATGGATGAATGGATGGATGGGTGGACTTTTTAAGTTATTGTTTATTGAGCACAAACTTTATGCTTGGAACTCACTCCATCTGCTAAACAAACTATGAAGTAGGTATCACTATAATTATCACCATTTTACCACTCAGAAAATAGGCTCAAAGAGCTTTGCTCATTCTAAATAAGGCCCCATATTTAGCAAAGTTGGGGTCTCAAATTTGGATGCATGATTACAAAGTTTATACTTTTAACTACTTCATCACAGTGCCACGAATTAACAAATGAATGAGAGAATGAGAGAGTGAACCAATCTACCAAACAATTTCTTATAGAATCCCATTGTTTCAAAAATCCTCTATGTGTTTTGGAATTCTGTTACATCTTTCAAAAGAAAACACAGTTTCGATTTGGCTAAGATCTGACTGAACTTGCATTCAGTCTGTTCCAAAAAAAATTTTTTTTAATAAAAAGCAATCATCAACCAGCCACTCCTCCCTATTTTCATAGGTGTGAAGCGGACAGGATTTATCTCTAGCCCCCGCTTTAAACTTGGAACAAACTTGAAATCCCATCTGTGGGACCTGACAGTTACAGCAGTGGAGTGTTAAAACTTACATGAACTTAATTTAAACTTCATTTGGGCTCCTCCCTTACTTGGGAAAGCTTTATATCAAATTTTGTAATAAAAAGAGAACACGCAATTTAAATTAAAGAATTGGGGTAGGTTTGGGTACTTCCAAGCCTGGATTAGCAAACCCCAAAAGTCTCTAATTAGGTTTTCCCTCTGTTTCTTCTTAGTCTGATCATCAAAACCATGGATGAGAATAAAGCCTCCTGTCACGACACAAGAGGACCCAGAGGGAAGGGTGAGCTTCCTTCCAGGTTCTAGAGTCCTAAGCATATTCCCCAAAGTAAGAATTAACAACAGGGAAGAAGTTCCTTATGATCACTTGTTCTCCTACTCTTCCTTCAAGATACAAATCCATTAAAGACACAAAATATCTTAAAGGTTATTTTTGCAAATACTTCTCAAAGCTGCAGGGATGGCCTAATGGTCTTATTCTGGTCTGTCCCATACTTACAACCAAGCATAGTAATTCTAAGGACAAAAACACAAGATAATTTTAATATTGCACAGATCCTACCTTGAGAAGTGGCTTTTTGGTTTCTGATAGTGGCTTCTGAAAGTACATTTCTTGTATTCCTGAAATATAAAAAGAGGAGAAATGATTCACCAATCTCATGCCTGTGTTCTATCTAATAGAGACACCAAAAGATACATTTGGGCCAAGCAATGAAAGTTATAGTTTTTAAAGTCACCTCAAAGACCTATAATTACTCTCTTACAAATTCATCATTGGTTTTGTTTGTTTGGCTATATTTATATGGCATAGGCACAGCTGACTTTCTCTAGAATGTCTAGGAGTCTGATTTGCCTAGTGAAAGATACACAGATGAGCTCTTGGTGCTTCTGGTTCTAAGCAACATAATAGAGCTCAGATTATGTATTTGCCTCATTTTCCTTATCTATGAAATCGAGCTTCAGTGATGCTCAGATTGGGATAAAGAAATGACTACCTGAAGACCCTCCTTCACTGTGGGTTTCCATGGCTTGTATCATCTTCCCTATGGTTCTCCTACTCCTCCAACACTTCTTCACTATCAACCACACTAATGAGGCTGAAACTGTTACCCTGAAAAAGGGAAAATCACCATGCTGGCATCCAAGCTCAGGGAAGAATTAAATCAGCTGATTACAGATATACTTGCCTCTATGTGACATATGTAATAGATTAAAGCAATCTACCATGTATTTATCAATACCTTTTATTGGCTTATGTTTCACAGAAATTTATAAAAATTATTTTTATAAACTATGTTCTCATTTAAATGCTCTTTGATAGCTATTTCTTCACTGAATCCTATCTTAAAAATTTTAAAAGGCAAACAAGGCGGCCAAATAGTAATGTATCAGGGCACCTGAGTGGCTCAGTCGGTTAAGCTGCCAACTCTTGATTTCAGCTCAGGTCATGATCTCAGGGTCCTGGGGATTGGGATCCCCGCTCAGTGGGAGTTGGCTTGATGATTCTCTCTCCCTCTTCCTCTGCCCCCCCACTCTCTCTCTAAAACGAATAAATAAATCTTTTTTAAAAATAGTAATGTATCAAAGTCAAACATCTCTATATAACTCAGTGGGAATGGAACCACCAGGTAAAGAAAAAAGAAACAGGGCGCCTGGGTGGCTCAGTTGGTTAGGCGACTGCCTTCGGCTCAGGTCATGATCCTGGAGTCCCGGGATCGAGTCCCGCATCGGGCTCCCTGCTCAGCGGGGAGTCTGCTTCTCCTTCTGACCCTCCCCCTCTCATGTTCTCTCTCTCTATCTCATTCTCTCTATCAAATAAATAAATAAATCTTAAAAAAAAAAGAAAAAAGAAACACACTTCCCTAGTCACAAATTAGTTCTGCCTATAAAGATTCAGTTTCTTCATGGAAAAAACAATGATGATGACATGACAAATGACATGATCTAGCATATAATAATTTATAACATGACATTTTATCATTTAATCAGTTGAGATTCTCAACAATATTGTGTAGGTTTATGGAATAGATGTATATGTTACAGATAGAGAAACAGTCTTAGCATGCATCAGAGTGGTTAAGAGTCTTGCACAAGCTCACTCAGTTAACAAGTGGTTAACAAAATCCACTCTTACTATTTTAAGTCCAGGACTTCTTCCTCAATGTCAGTATTCTACCCATCCCCTTGCCCCATCATGAGAGAATCTGATCATGGTGCTATCCACCAAGAAAAGACTCTGAAATCATTCTCACCTTCTAGGACTACTTTTAGAAACATTCTAAAAAAGACCTGCCAGCCTGTCTACTCTATGTTGTTTCCTCTTTACCCAGCTTCCAATTTTGAGATAGAGAAATTGAGACTTAGAAATAATAATTTTCTGGAGATCCCACAGCTTGCATATGTATGAATTGGGTATCAAGTCCATGCCTATTTTACTTCAGTAATATGAGGTAATTAAAATGTAGCAGAGAGCTGGATTTCAATTCAAGCCAATTTAAAATTCCAGCTCCACCAACTATCTACTGTGTGACTTTGAACCCCTGGAAGCCTCAGTATCATTTGTTGTAGGTATTAAATGAGATGATGTATACAATAGAGTACGTGGGGGGGAGGGGAGTAGCTAGTGTTATAATTGTAATACATCAAACTGCTTTAAAGGAATGTATCATGGACTATAGGATGTCAGGCACCAGATTTGAGATGAAGCTGAGGGATCCTCTCAAAATACCAGTATGCACATCACATAAAAATATATCTTTTTTATAAGGAGCAATGAGGGACAGAACCATAAACAG